GCTGCAAGCAATCAGGGCTACTGCTGGGAACATGCCGAAGCTGGTGTAGGACGTACTGTACTTCTCGACTGCCTTCTTCTTGCCTCCGTCGGACAGTGACGGCGCCTTGCCAGCACGTGCGGAAGTGTTCTTGGCTGGCGGAGGCGCCGAAAAGACTGCACGGAGCGAGCCGGTCGGCTTGTCCGCCGGGCCCCCAAATGTGGGCACGGCCGCACCGAAGGGACACGGAGACCTGAGTCGCTCACAGCACCCTGAGTCAATGCACCCTGCGGTCAGACTTGCCATGCTGCTGCTGGCTTGGGCCAGGGCGTGCACGGCTTGGCAAATGCCGTGCTGGTTGCCTTCCAGGGATTGCTCGCCGTGCTTGGAGTGGCGGGCGCTGAGAAAGGCACCAGGGCACCCGTGTGTGGCCCCGACACAGGTGGCGGTGCAGGAGGATTTGCAGCAAAGGCCAGGGTCTTTGGAGTTGGCACAGCGAAAGCTGCCTTAGCCTTCGCCTTAGCTGGCGGAGGCAACCGTGGGGCTGGATATCTCACAGGGAACCCGCCGCCCCTGCCGGCCATGGTCAGAAGCCACACTAATCACGGACTGCAGTCGTGAGCTTGAGCACAGAGATCCTCGCAGGATACACCACTATGAAACCTGCGTCTGTGCGTGGAAATATGCAGACGTCTGCTTCTCTGAAACATCCGGTATGCGACATGCGACTGCTGCATCTTTCTTCAAGCAGCAGCACGGGGTCCGAAACAAGCCAGTGCTATCAAGAGTACTAGGGAGGCATTGCCCAAATGCATGGCGCTGCCCGCTACTGTCCCCGCATGCTTGCTGTCCACAGATGGGACACAGCTTGCTCCCATCTCCATTGCAGTTGCCTCTGACACAGGCCAACCCAAGGCAGCCATTCGGTCTGCCCCCGTGACTGGCTGCATGCTCGCTCGGTGCAGCACTATGCACTCGTTGCTCTGACGACTGTTCGACACGGCTGAAACTGCACTCCAGGTCCGTCTGTACTCCATCCGCTCGCCCAGAAAGTACAGGAGATCAGGGTCGCATGCAGGGGAGCACCCCTTGAACCTTCGTCTGTACATCTGGTCCAAGAGCTCGATCTGATCGAGCTCCTCGCTGTCGAGGCATCCATGGATGCCAAGTCCGGAGGCCTGCATGAGACACCGGGCCAGGGGTCACGAGACGATGCAACTGACGGACTCATCCCCTCGCTCACACAGGCAAATCAGACAACCAGGCTTCGGGACGTCTTGTTTGCATGCACAGAGGGAAATCACTGACACTACTGAGCTGGGAGGTATAAATATGAATAAATAAATAAATAAATATACATATATATATGTATATGTATATATGTATGTGTATATATATATACATATATATATATATCTATACACATATAGCATGTACTACCCGCTGCACGCACAAGCAGACTCCTCGTCCGGCTCCACCTGTCGTCGTTGACAAAGACCCAGATTGAAGGAAGCCCTCGCACGGTCGGAGGCGACCATGTAGTCTCGCACACGGGTCTGCACACGACTGCGGATCTTGTGGCGGACTCGTTCATAGAGCTCATAAAAATCGTGCAGGTACACTGTCTTCTGTCTGTTGACAATGACAATGTATGTGCGAGGTCCAACTACACCCGCATGCCCGGCATCGGCCGGCTCCACGTGTATCTGCAGAAGCCGGTACTGGACCCCAAAGAGTCCCTCCAGCACATCCACGGGAATGTCCTAGGCTGCCGTGCATGTGAGCTCTTGGCTTCTGGAACGAGCCTCAATCCTGAAACCTGAATCCTGTTCACCTTCACAAGGAAGGGCAGGGGAGGAATGACTGGGCTCCGGTAATGGAACCTTTACCGGGGCAGACCTGGCAGAAAGCATCATGAGCATCTTTCGGGTGTCCAGATGCTAAGATCAGGTGCAGGGAGGCCTAAGCAGCCCCGGTAATGGAACCTTTTCCAGGGCAGCCTCGACACCAAGCATCAGAAGCATCAGGCTTTATGGAGGCTAAGCTGGGGAAAAAAAAACTACCGGGGCCATGGGGAAAGGTAGGGAGAGGGAAAGAGTCGGAGGGAGCGGGGGGCAACCCTCTGATCCCGACTGACTCACTGGGACAGACAGAAAGAAAGATAGACAGACAGGCAGGCAGACCGACAACACCGAGAGACTAAGTCATACCCACACAGACACAGCGAGGCAGACACACACACACACACACAGGCCCAAGCATACGTACACGGATACATGCACACATGCATACATACAGGCTGTACATACATCATACATACACACGGCAGTACATACATACATACATACATACATACAGAAAATCTTGCACATGTTCATGCCCTGTTGGACACTCGCAGCACCCTACTCATGAGGCCACACTTCCGCCTAGGCTCAGCCGTGTTCTCAAGGATGAGCAGCGGTGTCTCCAGGGCAACGTGTTTTTTTGCCCACACAAGGTAGGCATCCGCGCTCTGTCCCTCAACAAAACATCTCTTGGCACTCGCCTGCCTCTGCTCAAAAGCAGGAAGACTGGAAAAGTCAACATCGACTGGGTCCCACAGGAAACACTGGCGGCCGTGAGAGTAACAGAACTGGTGCGAGTGGAAGGGTGCTCTCTCCACCCTTGCGGCTCTACTTCTACGGTCCAAGCGGTCCCTGGCATCTTCCGAGAAGTCCAAGTCCACTTGAAGAAGCATGTCACCGAAAACGTGTGGCATTCCTCGCGGACGCCCGCTCCAGGAAGCAACCCAGCAGTGATGGTCCTGGACCACCTGCCGGCAATGCCCATTGGATTCCTAAGCTGGCTATGCAGGAACATAAGGCCGCACGATGCCGCACATGAAAAAAAACGCCAGGATTTCCGCACACTTCCAAGTGCAGCCCAAATGCGTGACAGCTCTCCCAGTTCAGCCTCACCTTCCAGTCGGCTGAGTCGTCTGCATTTACAACCGCCTCTACCATGGCAGCTGCGACTTCGGCTGTGAAGGCGCCGGTGCACGAGCTTGACATTCGCCGAGCTCTCGCTAGGTAAGAAACCTCGCTCATGTGCATCTGCATTGTCTAGCAACTAGAACGGCATCCCAGAGACAACTTAAGACAAGATGCGGACAAGGCGAAAGGGGCCACCGTGCTTGAGACAACTGCCCAGGCCATTCGCAAAGCACGAGCTGCCACAGATAAGGGAGTCTCTCGCTCCCGCACCTCCCAGGAAATGATGCCGTCAGGCTTTCTGACAAAACAAAAAAAACAACTTCCACAGCCTAGCCTGGAAGGGCTCTGCAGAAAGAGCGGACGAAGAGGACGTTGTCTGAGTGGGCACGGGTGTGGTCCCCTCGTGTGTGTCCGAGCACACAGTCACCCACGACTCCAACATAGTCGTGCCATCGGCGATCTCAACCACTTCGGCTGGGAGCATCTCGCTAATGAATCTACACAACTGAGGAGCCACACAAACAGCCCACATGGACATGTCGTGACTTGCAGGCACATGTTCCTGGCAACTCTCCGCAAACTGTTCCTAAACTGCCACTGTACTCTCAGCTCCCTGCTGCCGGTGGTGCATACACAGCCCTCCCCAGATTCGTTCCGAAGATCTGGAACAGTTCAATGGGCTCGAAGGCATTGTCGGAACCGTCATAGAAAACCTCAGCATTCCACGTGCATGCCACTGTACTCAAAGAACACAACTCCTGCAATTAATTTGCTGCAGGCGGCTCTGAAGTGCTTCTCGCTTTCAAGCTCTGCCCAACCACGTGCTGCATACACTACCTGAGACACCACATGGGAAGAACTTCACAGTGACACGGGCAGCTTCCAGACTTCATCTTCTGGAGAACACAAACACAGAAAAAAAACACGAATCACATGCTGTCTGGAGGCGCATGCCCGATAGGCGGCCTGGGTCACCGAAATGCTCGTGGAACCCACGTTGGTCAGGGCTTTGCTCATCCACCTGTCCTGGCAGCATGGTCCACTGAACCGTGACCCTTACGACTTCCAATCAGAAACTGCCAACTGCACTCGCACAAACGAACAGCTGCAATGGTAGCTTCTTGCCTCGGCATTCACGAGACGATCAAGAGCAGAAGCAACGAACTGCCACTTGGAATCCGTGTCCAATCTCTGCCTCTTGGTGTGGAGTCTGAGGTTCTGCAAGCTAGACGTAAACTCGGCCATGTGTGCATCCATGAAAACTGCCAAGTGGGACAGGATGGATAAAGCTGACCTTTCCAGTTCCTGCTTCGTCCTACGCAGCTTCGGGTGCACCTGCAAAGAGGATGCTTGGTCTAGAGCAAAGGCCAGATAGTCCGCAAGGTGTGGTCTCGTGGCTGTGGATGAAATCCAAGGTGCATAGTCAGCGGCCATGTCGGTTGACCATGCGAAGGCCACACGTTGATCACGGTATTCTGGGGTCCAGAAATCCTGCGAAGTACCTCGCCGGTCCAAGGACACCTCGTGCCACCATGCATTGCCCTGCAAGTCAAACAGCAAAGCCTCTGGTTTCCAAGCAAGCTGGCAGGCTCTATCAACAATCGCTCGCAACAACTCATAGGTTTTCATGCGGAGACGCCGGTTTCTCTTTCGGTGCCCGAAGAACCACATGATTGAAGCAAGGACAACTGTCGTTGGCACTGTGAGCGCCTCCGCCTTCTGTCCTCCTTGGGCTTGTTGACCGCTCAAGTTCGACTCCGAACATGCCGGAACGTTCATCCCCGGCCACAGCTTCCTATGGCAGTCTTCTATCAGCGGCAGAGCTCGCCTGAAACGCCGGACCGCTGCATCAGTCTTGTCGTAAAAGTGCGAGCTCAAAGACAACACTTTGAAGTGGCACTGCTTCTGTTGCTGGACATTACCGATGTACACCTGAACGTCCCGGCTGCTGTCGGGAGGAAAGGAAAAGGTACCTGGGCTGATGCTGTAAACAAGGGTCGACCTCAATCAAATTTCTCATGCTGGCCTAGCTAGAAATTCGTTGCAAACCTAGGCACGGAGCTCCAAGAAATCAGGTGCATCTGCTTCCACAGCCATGCTACCATGCTAAGCTCCGACAAGCCCAGGCTCTGTCGCCTGACTGCAGGGCTGTGCTGCCGTAGAACCGAATTGAGCAGAAATAGGCCGAGCAGGAAAGAGCAACAAAGACAGACAGAGAAAGACATTGAAACCCAAAGAAAGCCATTGAGAAACAATGGCGTTCAAACTCGCTCTGCGGCACTCGGTCGACTGTGCATGGCTGGCCTGACAGATAGGTTTTAAGTTTAGGGGGGGGGCTGGGGGGGGGGTGCTAAGGAACCTATAATTTTCTCACTCTCGAACTGCAAACGAAAGCTGCTGTCTCAGCCTCAGCTACTGGAACTACTCTCCCTGCTGCCACTCGAACTGCTCGACTCTTCACTGGAAGAGCCTGACGACGAACTTGAAGGCGGATCGGATGCTGCTTCATCGGAACAGCTTGCATGATCGGGACCACGCGAAGCCATCGACTTCGACTTTGCTTTTGCTTTGGCACCAGGTTTCGCCTTTGCTTTGGAGGATGTTTTTGCTTTCGGTTTGGGCTTAGCTTTGGCTTTCGGGCGGGCTTTCGCAGCTGCTTTCGCTCTTGCATCAAGAGCCTCATCCGTTTCCACTGTCTCAGGTGGGGGCATGATGTTTGACACACGTGCCTCAAGGACAGCATCGTCTAGTAGCTCCATGTCACGAGGTTGCACAGCAGCATGACTACGTCTTCGGTCGTGCTGCGGTGCCTGGAGGCACCACAATTTCAAGAGTTTGCAACACCTCTGCTTCTCTTCATCCGTGCCATCAAGAAGGCCGACTGCCTTCTTGCAGCCGGTGACATGGGATACTTTGTGATATGGACAGGTTGCTTGCCATGACCCAAAAGGGGGTCTCTTTTCTGCCGAAGACCACGTGAATCTGAACACTTGGTGCCAAACAAAGCTATCCTCATGAACTCTCCTGTGGCGCACAACTGCACGGACATGTTGCTCTGCATCCCCGTCTGCTGCAGCTACAGAATCGGCTATTTCAAGATTGGCTCTAGCTGAAGAAGATGATGCGGGAAGCCCTGCTGCCACTGGCACGGCCTCGAGACCCTCGCCTCCAGCAGAAGATGCAACCCCTTCATCCGGCTCGTCAGGACGAGGGCTGCCTGGCAGGGGCAGACTTATCTCAACGCTTGCAGGCGGATGCACATCATCAGCAACATCCCCGGAAGAGGGCTGTTCAGCAGTGGCAGGTGCCCTGTCGTCGGCAGACTCGCGAGGACTGGCAGGAGTGCCAGGATTCGATAACAAAGGTGAATCAAGCGCACCTGCACCAGGCGGGGTCCGGGCCGGGGTTTCCGATCCAACCTCGTTCTCCCCGCCTTCGGCCTGCACATGCTCCTGTGCCAGCTGTGCTACATCTTCATTCTCAGACTCTGTCCAGAACTGCGCAGCAAGAGACAGGGACTCTGAAGACAAGCCGCTGTCGCTCTCTGGCAAAGCTTGGGGAGCATCTGAAGTCTGGTCTGGGGGAACTGCAGGATCCAAAAAAGCACTTGACGCAGGCGGCACTGCATCAGCAACAGGAGCACGCCTGGCCCGTTTGCTGGGGCGTGAAGGCACTGCGGGCTCCTGGCTACCGGCATCCAGCAGCGCCTGGGGTCCAGGCGCCTGTTCCACATCAAGCTGCAAAGCTGCAACCGGTTCATCTGCAACAGCTTGGAATGGACTACCGGTGTGTCCTTCGTGCAAGACAGCAGAATAATACTGCACAGGTTGGCAATGGTAAACACGAGACAACCCTCCGGATGCAAACATCTCTTCTGCACGTATCAAGGTGATCATGTACTTGCGAGCACGAAGCATGCTGGTCCCTGACAAGTACCACACCAAGTCCGCACCGGCACTTTCAGGAGTGAGGGGTGCAAGCTGACGAACGGCTTTTTTAGACTTGGGCCTTTGCTTAACCTGAAAGCCTTTCTGCTGCAACGCCTGATACAACTGCCAACACGTGCCTGACTCTAGACACTCCAGAGACAAGTCGGCAAGCGGCTTAAAGACGAGCTCTGGGCAACGTGCATCGGTTGCAACACGAAGCTTGCCGGCACCGGCCAAGGAAAAGCACCACTTCGAATTTTCCGGGCCGTCTTCCAAGCATTCAACAACACTGCAATCACGCAAGCTTTCCAACTGCTGCAACATCTGGGCATCGGACTTTGCCAGCTGTAACACGTTCCCGGTGTTGGGAAACGCCCGGCACGCCATCAACTTACGAATCGCTTCCTCTGCCCTCTGCACAACGACACCTGCAACACCTTCGAGAATGCAGCTGCCCGATTTGCGCCTGTTCCACGAAGTCAGCTGAGTACGTATGGCTCCCACCTCTGCATCACAAACGGAAAGCACTGCCACAGGGCTCTGCACCGAAGTCGCCCTGGATGCCTCAACCGCAACGACGTACCTCCCATTGCTTCGACGAGAATCATGCAAAGTGACACACACGTCGTGCTGGGTCAGCCTTCGGGCGCTGGCTGCTGGCATCTGCACAAGCTTCTGTCGATGCAGTTGCAACGGAAGAACCTGGAAAAATGTCAAGTCTGACGAATCTGCAACAGCATCGGCCGAATCGGCAGCATCGCTTAGCACTGACTCGCCATCAACTTCAAGCTGCAACTGACTCACGGCTCGCACCCGAGGCACCAAGCTCGCCTGCAAGCTCCTCACTGGCATGGACTGCCGCGATTGGGCACGTGGCACAGAAAACAAGACATTGCTGCCGCCCTCTGCAACGACTGACTGCAAGTGATCGGCCAAGGCTTCTCGTTCCACCACATCACCACTGAAAGACTGAGCGGCTGCATTGCTTTTCTTCCATTTCTCAACGACCCTGGCCTTCTTGGCTGCTCTCTGCTCTCGTTTTTTTTGCTTTGCTTTCTGCATCGTGTATTGCGAAACAATGTCCAAGGAGTACATGTACACTCCAGCAAGCTTCCGCTTGTCGTGGAAAGATGCCTTATCTTGCACCGCCTCGGCATACAGTGGATGCCGATAGAAACCCAGCTTCCTGGCCATGTCGTCTGGATGAAGTATTCTGGCAAACTCAGAAACAAAGCTACTGGACAGCTCACCCGGACCGGACTCAAAAATCTTCAAGACCTCACGCATTCTCAAGAGTGTGGACACATAACTCCCGCTGACCTTCCGCAGGGAAGCGCCCCGCTTGATGAGGCTATGATCCCCCTCTTGTCGACGTTCCACCTGCACCGTTATAGAAGGTTTGGGGCTTTTGGGATTTGAGGGCTTCGTGTTCTGGGGCCATCAAACTTCTTCTCTATGACAGCAGGACGAAGACCAAACACTGCACACGTGTTCTTAGTTGAACCGCCTGCTCCAACATATGGGTCTGAATGCAAACATGCTGCTCTAAATACGTTTGAATTCCTCCTGTTCCTATTGCAAAGCGACGGTAGGCTGGGACCCCGACCGTCGGAATGAAGGAAAGTTCAAAGGCTGCTCGATGTAGTTCTGGCAAGGAATCCAACGCCTGGCCAGACACAAAGGCGGCCAGGCTTGCACGGAGGTTGGGTGATTCCCTCAGCCACGACCAGGTGAGGCGATGATGCAACTCTGGAGTTTGCTCTGAAGCATCAAACTTGTCAAGGAAATCTGCTGCAATGGTTCTTGCTTTGGCTTCATCCGGATTAGCCAACGCTGCAAGCTGCCAAGGAAGCATGCCCCAGTGCTGGAACTTGTTAGTAAATGTAGCTATCAAATAATTTTTGCCACGATCAAACTCAAGCAAGATCTCATCTATTTCATCCTGTGGCATGGGTGAAAGCTCAAGCAACAAATCCTCCTTACACATGTCGACGAGATGCAACATCTGTTCCTGCACTGAGCCGCTCGCAAGTTCACACGACCTCAGGCCTGCGAGGGGGCACGGCAAGTACCGCTGGCCGTCGCCATCACCGGGCAAGCCCAGCTCTCTGCAACAGGTGGTCAAGGCAACTAGAGCATCTTGTTCAAGCTGCTGAGCAGGACTGGGCTCCCGCCGGTCCTTCCTTGAAGATTGCGAATTACGACCCCACGGATGGCAAGGGCAACCCTCAACCCAGGAGAGGAATTCTGTATTGGCTGAATTGAGGTGGAAAACCATGCTAGCAAAATTCCAAAACCAATCGCTGCGAATGGCCCTTGTCACTTGCTGCACATCAGCCTTTGCGTCTGCCCTCGCATCCTGAGCGGCAGGATTCTCTGGTGCACCTGCGGCCTCGTGACATTCAACGGATTCATATCTGTTGGGATCCCAAGCTGATTGGAGAAGCCGTCGCAGAGGTAGCAGCCTTTGCAGCACGAGAACGGTCGTGCCCCACCTCCAATCTGCATACTGAGGAACACCTGTCTCGAAATGCCGCTGCATCCAAGAGTGTCGGGTATCCTTGAGGCATGTAGCAACAAATCGTTGCCTCAGATGTGTGTGGTGAAGAAGGGCAACCAAAGGTTTGAACTCACCGATCCATGAGTCCCAACATGAAAACGCTTGGTTCATGTCGGACAGCATATTATCTATCACATGATTCAAACCTGGGACGGTTATGGCACGTGGCAAAAAATAACCCTCCGAATCAGCCTGAGCTTGAGGCGGGAGCGGCTCAGCTTCGCAATCATCAAAATCCCTCTCCAGTTGCCCTTCTGATGCCCAGGAAGGTAGGATTTCTTTAAGAGTCAACCCTGCCATGTCAGCAATGCTGAATTCAGTCCCCATGTCAGTGGTGAAACTGACGACCTGCGACAAAACTCGTTGCAAATCCGGAAGGCTTTGTGTCTCTGCAAAAAGAGACCTGGCGAGAGCTGAGGCCTTGTGATCTAGGCCAGAAGCGCCGCTCCCCATAGCCATCGGCAGAAGCCGGTGTGTCAAGATACAACTTTTCAATGTGCACCCGTGCAGCTGCCGGCTCGTCGCGATATCTTTCATCTTGTTATGATCGTCATTCTTGTACGCAGAAACGAAATCATCCCACGAAGCTCGCATGTACTTCGCTGCATCAGCACACTTTTGCAACTCATCACGCCGAATCATGACAGCCGTGGAAAGCAGGTAGTCGTGCCCCGCTTGCGGGGAAGAATCCGCTAGCAGATACAGCACGAAGTCGTGCTGGGAAAATCGCTCACGCATGTAACCACAAAGCGCTGCATCGATTAGAAGCTGGGACCGTGACAACGTCGGTCCAGAAGGAATTTTTTCCCACACGGTGCTGTCAAAATCGATTGGCGAAAAAAGAGACTCCACGATGTTTTGCACAGTTGATCTCAACTCTGTCCGGTTACGCAAGTGCATGGCTGCTGCCAAGGAGCTGACCATGGTGGCGATATCAAACCTGTTGCCCTTCCCCAAAGACGGGTGGGCAAACCCTTGCTGAACCTTACGACCACCCCCTAAACTGGCCACGAAGGAGTCCAAACGACAAACCAGCTGCTCCCACTCGAACGTTTCAGCCTGGCGTTCCTCCACCTCTTCATCCCCGAACCTCGCCAAAACAATCGGAGCAGCTTGCCTGAGCTTCAGGGCCAATGCATTGGCGTGTTCGGATCCGAATTTGAGAGATGGAGGGGGAGCTGAACTCCCCAACCTGCGGCCCTGCTTGAGCTGCTGCAACCAAGGTTCTGAGGGAAATTGCAATAAACTACGCAATCGTTGCACTGCCACAGCTTTGCGAGTCTGCCAAGAGGCTCGCAGCATCAGCTTCGACCAAGCTCCACGCCCGACGGAAGATTATCGGATTTGCTAGGAACTCTGCAAACTGTTGGTCGCTAATCCCTAAAGCATGCTGCAAATCTTCCCCACTCAAAAACTTCTGCTCCCTGTCCGACACACAGGCAGCCTGAGCACGTGCCAAATCTGCCGTTGGAACACCGGGCTCGCACACCAAACCGTTCAGACGATGCCGATCGAAGCCGAGAAATACGGGAGTAGCATATTTGAAACATCGAGCCACTCGCACAGTATATGCATCTGCTGGGTAATTGAAATATTCCCACAAGAACTTGCACTGTTCATCCAAGACCGTCAAAGGCCCGCTGTACTCCACATCTGCAACGAGTTTTACCAGATATGACACAGGTCGCTCATTCTGTGCAGTGCGGCCAGATGCTGGCTGCTTTCTGCTTGAAACCAGATCCTCTAAGCCATGTTGCTTCAATAAGCCCGAAAACCAATCACTCTTGGGAAAACTATTGCTGTGCCCCTCATCAACGCCCACTTTCTTCTTGTAGATATTGTACGGCAGCACAAGCGCCAGTGCTGACATGCCGCTCACCAAGAACCAAGTTCGGAGAAACCATGGCATGACCATTTCTAATGTGACATCTGCACGATGTGCAAACATGTTCCCTACCAGCTGTGGTTGCAATGATTTTAGTGATGGACGGACTATGGTCATTTGGCTTCGGCATGAGTTATATGTTGCGGTTTCTGCTTAAGCTGAATCGCCCGCCGGAACGTCAACGTCCTTCCTTAGCCCGACGTGCCCGAAGCAAACAGCCCTTCGCCCTGATTGTGCGACCGTGGCAAGCAAACAAAAACTGAGTGCGCAAACTTAAACCCGGGCCCCAACCCAAGCTTAACTATTAACCTCGAAGTGACCCTCAAAGTTGCCGAAGCCTAGCCTGAACCCGAATTCATGAGACTCAAGCGGGGTCTGGTGCTTCCGTTCTGCCCCACTGATCCGTGACTGTAGGCTGGTTCGTCGGGGGCGGGGGCGGGGGCATGCCAGTTGAATCCGACATTGTCCGACATCTCCAAATCGTCAACTCTTAACACATGACATAACACAAATCACCAAATGTTCTTCACGGCCTTCCCTCTTTCAGTACAAAACACAACGCGAACTCACGAATCATCAAATTCAAATCGAAAATCATGAAGAAATCACACAACCGACGGCTCCTGAACACCATGGATGCTTCTTTAGACTAAGCAAATTCTTCTCTGCCGTTTTCATCTTTCCCTGACCTACCAAAAAATCTATTACTTCCCTCATTCCCTCTATCTTTCTTTTTTTTCTCCTCCCCGCAAGCTACAACGAGCGGCATCATGAGCAACAGGGCCTTGCCAAAGTCTTGACAACTCCGTATCTTAGTTTCGAGGCAACCGAAGCGCTGGAAATCCAATCCAGAACGGGAGCAGCTGCTTAGAACAAGTGCGATTCGTGACTGTCCACGACGTGCACCGCAAGAACAATCCAAAAAACGTGCTGGCCATGAGCTTCCAGGCGCTGGGAAGCAGCCGAAGCAGCCCCAAACAATACTTTTGAAGTACTCTTCTGGCACACCCCAGCAGACGACAGCCCTGGAAGGGAAATTTGGCGGTGGTAAAGGAAGCTATGCAACATCATAGCATGTTCGCGTCTTGGTATGTAATAGGCCCGAAACACTGTTCCACAAGGGTTCCGTGAAAACTAACAGCCAGGCCTTTTCTATTGTCCATGCCGAGCCACAAATTCTCCTCATTCTTGGGGTCTACAAAGGACAACAAGTCACGGTGCTCTCAGCCCATGCACCACAGACCACCAAGCCCATCGAGGAGCTTGAGACGTGGTGGCAACACCTGCGCACAGTTCTGCACCGTGCCCCTGCGACTTGTTTGCCAATCTGCTGCATTGATGCTAACGCAACATTTGTGCATGACGCCAGCCAGGGTACCTCTGTTCCCAAATGTGCCAATGCACGCCTGTTGCAGGCATTCCTGGCAGCCAAGGATCTGTGCTGCAGCCCGGCCTGCTTCCCCGACGGAGAGCCAGCTGTTTCGTGGGTCAGTCCACAAGGGCATAAAAAGCTCATTGATTATGTTCTTTTCCCCTACGGATGGCAGTCACAGATCAGACTCCTTCCCTCCCCTGGACTTGGAGATCTTTTCGCTGACATCGACCACCGGCCCATCGCAGTTTCACTTGAAGTTAGGGCGGAGGTCTCTGATGCCCGATCTGTCAGCAAGGCCTGCCACGACTGGCGCAGTCAACACACTGTTGCGCTCGCGCGCAAGGCTGCCGGAGCCTGCCCTCATGTGTCCTGGGACACCAGCGGGACTGTGCATGTTGACTCTCTGCAAAAGCATCTGGTTGACTGTCTTTCCTGTGCTGCGGACCGCCAGCACCAGCGTCCGCGCAACCCTGCCATCCAGCTCAGCACTCTCGAAAAGCTGCGCGTGCAGCGGCATTTGCGGCGATGCCACCGTCGCACACAAGCGGCGTCCGACCGTGCCTTCTTACACCTCTGTCTCCAAGCTTGGAAAAGAGGCGCCGCTACCCCTCCCCATTATTTACGGGTTGACAAGCAGCTTCGAGTCAATGCGACCTATGCGTGGGTTGAGTTCTACCAACAATGTCGCATTGTACGCCGCTCGCTTCTTCGTGATAAGGCGGCCTTTGCTAGACAGGCATTTGAGACATCCAGGGCCGCTGGGCCTGCGGTATGGGCCCACAAGCTGCGTGCTGTGCTGCGGGTTGGCAGGAAATTCAAAGCGCCGTCCCTGGTCCCGGCTCTTACCGGGGAAAACACCGCTCTTGTCGGAAGAAGCGCAGTGTTGGACGGATTTGCTGCACATTTCGCCAAGGCTGAGCGCGCCACTTCAGCCCCCCTTCGGGACATTACCGTAGAGTCTGCACCTGAGCTGCCGCCGTCAGTCCTCGAAGGCAGCGAGTTCCCATCGATTGCTGATGTTGCACATGGTTTTGCTTCCCTCCAGAAAGGCCGAGCTTCGGGCATTTCCGGACTGCCTTGCGAGCTCTATCAGACAGCCCCGTTGGAACTGGCGTTTCGCTATTGGCCGGTCGTTTGCAAGAC